TTAAAGGCTGATGGTTACAGGAGTCAGAGCAATAAATACTGTGCAAGCACAAAAGGCAAAGCTGATGGTGATTCTCCGGGACATGTTTCTCACTCTCTTTTTGGTAGAGAAAATGATTGTTTGGGTAGGGGAATCCTGGCTTCAGAAGTGGAGTTTGAGCAAGAAGGTGATGTGTGGGACAATAAGAAAATATGCCCTGGAAAGAAATTGCTTGAAAACGGCCAAGGAAGCAACAGCTTGGCTGTTGCTGGAAACAGATCAGAAGTTCCTCGGACCTCTTACCAAATGGACACCATCACTTACAAAGAGGAGCCTTTCTTCAAGTCAGAGACCTCTCATTCACAAGTGCAAGATAATGCTTCATTTCATAACTTTGTGGAAAACTTGGAGGATAGACATCCTTCTAATTTAAATACATTCCAAACGTACAGATGCCAGCACTGCAGTTATGCTACTGCTGTTCCTAACAACTTCAGGCTGCACCTAAAGATACATACGGATGAAAGACCATTCGTGTGTAAAGAGTGCAATGAGACATTTAAAACCTCAAACCATTTGCAGAAACACAGCCTTCTTCATGTGAAAAATGGAGAGGAGTTTGGAAGTTGCCTCTTTGCAGAGAGGTGTTTAGAGAAACTTGAATTGCATCGTGAAGTCCAGAGAGGCACATACCCAGAAAGGGATTTGAATTCCTGCAAAGGCTCAAACAGCTCCTTGCTTGTTTCAGAAGTTTGGGGAGTTCAGCAAGGTGTTCAGAGGGGCACAGCAAATGATGTGCAAGCACAAAGTCAGCCACTATTATATCAGTGTTCAGAGTGCAGCTATGCTACTGGCATTTTAAGCAACCTGGAGCTCCACATCAGAACTCACACAGGTGAGAAGCCCTACAGCTGCCCCGTTTGTCAGAAGAAGTTCCGTACTTCCAGTCACCTGAAGAGGCACAGACTCACACATTTGAACGTGGGGCATTTCAAGTGCACGAGCTGTGACTACTCGACCAACAAATGGCTGTCCTTGAAGCAGCACCTGGCTTCGCACACCGGGGAGGGAACCTCCTCTCCTGGCTGCTTCTACGAGCACAAGGAGCTGCCTGTCAAGACATACAGGTGTGAGGAGTGTGGCTATTGCACAGCCCACAACGGGAACCTGAAGCTGCACCTGAGGATCCACACGGGGGAGAAGCCGTTCCAGTGCGGGCAGTGCTCCCTGGCTTTCCGCACCTCCAGCCACCTCAAGCGCCACTGGCTGACTCACCTCAAGCTGCACTGCAGGAGGTGCAGGTATTCCACGGTGGATAAGCAAGCTTTCCAAAAGCACATTAAAACACACAAAAAGAAGTACAGGTGTGCAAAGTGTAATGTGGTGCTGCCCACCAAAAAACTGCTGGAGAAGCATAAGCAGCGGCACGACGTTGGAATGTGAGGTTGAGAATTGGAAGCTGCTGCTTGGTTTTGGAGAGGTTTGCATGTCCCGAGTTTTTCATGGCTTTATGTTCCTTTGCTGTGCCCAGAACAATGGTTGGTAATGGATGCATGTAGCATTTTGGTCAAGAGAGTGACACTTGGGGTACTGGTTTGCTGCAGGTGTTTCTGGGAACATCCATTCTAGCACAGGCTGTGCTGAAGATCTCGGAGACACTTTTTCATCCCTGAGTAACTGCTTCAGTAGAGGTCAGTTATTTTGGCCAGTGTTCATCTGTGTTTAAGCAGTTATTCTGCACCACTTACTTTCTTGTAAAAATTTAGTAAGAAAAAAAAAATCTCTTTTCTAACTGAAATAATGTGAAACAGGAGGGAAGGAAGGGCATGTTATATTTTGTAGTAATAACTTTTCATATAAAATTATCAGTGCATCAGGAGGCTAAATGCTACCTCCCATCTGCTGAAAGTTGCCTCCTTTACTCCCAGGTGCTTTTGCAATACTTGTAAGAGGGAAGAAAATAATATCTCACCAAATTACAGAAACAAAATATGCATGTCATCACTGGGTAATTGTGATACTGAAATGTTTGACATGTGTCTGTATATATAAGATGTTTATTAAGCTGTTACCTTGTCTGTAGTTTTGATAATTTTTTGAGTAGTCCAACAGAAATGGTAATGTCCAGAAACATCTATTTTATGATACTGGGAATCTTTAACTCTTCAATTTTATGTGAATGTCTAATGTTAATCTAGTACAAAATGCCTTACCTTTTCTCAGGTTGGTAGTTACTGTGTTGTTTGTTAAAATAGATGAAACACTTTCCAAATGACTTCTGTTAATACGAGCAGTTGCTAATAATTGTGAATGCTGTTTAGTTACATTGAAGACCTTCACAGTATCTGAAATTAAAATTAGTTTAAGAACTTTACTCTTAGTCTAAAATATCGTGTGTAAGAACCATTGTACTATGCAGCAGTTGGTGCAGGGTATGGTGAACCCAGATGGATGCTGCTTCCAATTTATATTCAAATCTAGACAAATCTTTGTTTGTTTTGGAGTTATGCAGTGCTAGGAACTCTTTGAGTGTGGTAAGTGGTTTTAATAACAGTGTGTTATCCCCTTGTGTGAGGAAAGACAACAGCAAAGGCCTGGTGCAAACTGTCCCAATGCTACAGCTCAGTCCACGGAGCAGCACAACAAACCTGTGGTTTAATTTAGAGAATGTAAATTCGGAACTCAGTGCTTTTTTTTCTGCTTCTGGATGTGTCTTTCTGTAGAAATACGGATGTCTTGTAGAGTAACATAGGAGACAGGTTGGGAAGGGCTGCCCAGAAAGGTAGTGGAGTTCCCTTCTTTTCAGATATTTAAAAGCCATCTGGATATAATCCTGGAAAACCAGCTCTGGGTGGCCCTTCCTGAGCAGGGGCTTGTCTTCCAGACCCCTGCAGCCATTCTGTGATTTGGAGGACAATTCTCCAATAATGGGTTGAAACTCAAGGACAGATGAATGTATTTAAGGCCAGATCAGCAAAGACATTCAAGTGATCTAGTTCTTTGCAGCTTCAGTAAAGTCAGACAATATCTGGGCCTGAACCATGGTGATTTAGACCTTGGAGCCACCTAATCCAGTTGTGAGAAAGAAGAATGTTATCCTGTATGAAGAAAGAAAAGCATTTCTGGGAAATATTAATGGTTACTTAAGCTTGGAGGCGTTTTTACCTGTGTTATGTTACAACTCTGATCATTGATTTGAAAAGAACAGGTACAAAGAGAAAACAAAAATACTGAAGGAATTGTAAGCCTCTCTATTAGGTGAGACTAGAAAGGCTAAATCTGATAGAGCACTGTTGTTTAAAAGCATGGTGTACACCAATGATGAAAACAGCCTGGTTTAGGGGGATAAATTAACTGCAGTAAATTTCTGAAAGAGTTTGTAAATGTGAGTTTTTTCAAGTTTTAAGTAAGAACAAGAAGGTACTTTCAGTTAGAGCTTGATTTTATAAAAATAATTATTCCTAGCCACTGCCTCTAATAAAAATAAGCAGTTCGATGACTCCTGATGTTGCTTTCTGTTCCTTATGCACTGCACTGGATTTTTGGGGTTTCAAAGGTAATCCAGTCTGCTAAGTCAGTGAAATTTAAAGGTTGAGGTATATTCAGTTTCAAATAAGACATGGGCTGCTGTTGGAATTATTTTTTTTGGTAGCTAGAAGTGTAATTTTTTTTATTCCTGCAGTTTAAACAAAAATCAAAGCCTTTCCTAAATCATACTATGAAGTTTCCTATTTAAACCAAAAAGGTTTCATAATTTTCTCCATGGACATATCCTGAATTTGGACCAAGCAAGGAAATGTAACAAGACAAATTGAGCAAAAGGCTTTCATTTCACGTGCTGTGCATCTGCTAATTAAATGAATACAAGTTAAACTTGTAAATGAACAATAGTGAGTGAGACCTGTATGATCTGGTGGTGCATCCTCCTGTTTGGGCCACACTGTGGTCTCAGAAATGCTCATTAGCCTTGACAAGTTGAGCTGAGCTCCTCTTGAGCTGATCTGAAACACTGTCTGCTCCCAAGAACTTGGCTGGCTAAGGAGCTCTCTGGGTTTTAAGAGCCTTTGGGAACTTATTTTTCTTACCCAAATAACCACCCAGGAGGAACAACATTTTTGGTTTTGAACTTGCAGAGAAAGTTATCAACCTGAATTACAGCCAGGGTGGAAAATTGCTATGAGCAAAGCCAAGTCTGTTGTGACTCTCTAAGCAGGGGTATTTTAGACCTGCGTGTGAGCTCTCCAGAATGCAGCGAGCTGAGGCCAGCGCCTCCCTCTGAGTGGAGCCTCTTTGAGCCACACACAGAGCTCCCAGGTTGGATATCCCTGGGGGACCACAGCTGAGGGACAGTGACAGGTCCTGAGCTGAGATCCCCACTCCCTGAGACTCAATCTTTCACCTCTTGAGAGTGACATGAGTACCTGCCTATGAAAATTCCCCAAATTCAAGTATGTAGCTTATATACACTCCTTTGGTGTGTGTGTGTTAATATGCAAATGCACTTTTCTATGGTTCTACAAGAGAGCAACACTATCAATGTTGCTCTCTTGTAGAACCATAGAATAGTTTTACATTGGCACCTTAAAGATGATCTCGTTCCACCCCGTGCCATGGGCAGGGACACCTTCCACCATCCCAGGCTGCTCCAAGCCCCATCCAGCCTGGCCTTGGACACCACCAGCGATGGGGCAGCCACAGCTTCTCTGGGCAGTCTGTGTTAGGGCCTCGCCACCCTCACAGCCAGGAATTTATTCCACACATAAACGCATGGGGCTTTTTCCTGAAATTAACAAAATACCTTGGGAACACTGGGGAGATGTGATTTCTTTCCACCGTCCCTTTTGCGTCCCCTGGGGGAATTTGAGAGTTCCTCCTTTCGGCGCCGCCCGGGCCCCTCCGCCGTGCGCTCCTCCGGCCGGCAGGGGGCGCTAGCGCCGAGCGCCGCCTCAGGACACGCGGGGCGGCTGCGCATGCGCGAAGCGGCCGGACCCGCTTCCCTGGAGGAGCAGCGGCCTCACTTCCCTTAGAAAAGCCGCCGGACCCGCTTCCCGCTTTTCTGGCAGAGCAGCCGGCCCCGCTTCCCTCGCCCCCGGCATCCGCCGCAGCTGAGGGCGACCGTGCGCCGTCTCGGCCGGCCCCGCTGACACCAGTGGCGCTCCCGCCCCCTCTCCATTCTCTCGCTCCAGGGGTTCGTCCCCCCCTCCCTTCGCCGCCAAGATGCCGCGGATTATGATTAAAGGCGGCGTATGGCGGAACACCGAGGTAAGACTCGGCGGGGTTCCAGCCCTCGTCCCCCCCTCAGGGCCGGGCAGGTGTGGGGGGGGGTGGGGAAGCCCTCACTGGTGCGCAGGCGCGGGAAGGGGGCGGGTGCCGTGTGCGCCTGCGCGGGGGCTCCGGGGTTGGGGTATCCCGGGGCAGGGTCGGGGCTGCCGGAGCCGCTGTGCCGGGACATCGGAGGGGTTGGGAACCACAGGAGCGAGGGCAGGGAAGGGTCTGGAGCACAGGTCCGATGAGGAACAGCTGAGGGAGATGGAGGGGCTCAGCCTGGGGGGATTCTCTGGCTCTCCACAATTCCCTGACAGGAGGGTGGAGCCAGGTGGGGGTCGGGCTCTGCGCCCAGGCAACAAGTGACAGGACAAGAGGACATGGCCTCAGAGTGTACCAGGAGAGGTTTAGGTTGGACATTTGGAAGAATTTGTTCGCAGGGAAGGATGATTAAGTGTTGGAATGGGCTGCCCAGGGAGGTGATGGAGTCGCTGTCCCTGAAGGTGTTTAAGGAAAGCCTGGATGTGGCACTGAGTGCCATGGCCTCATTGACATGGTGGTGATCAGATGTAGATTAAACTCAATGATCTGAGAGGTCTTTTCCAACCTAAATGACTCTCTAATTCCTTGGCTCTGTGTTGGGTGCATTCCCCAATAACCTGTACCTTCCTCCTTCCAGTAGGCAAAGGTCACAAGGTCACATTGGTGTTTTATCCCTTGGGCTGCAGGTTGGGAAGCTCAGCCATGTGTGTGTTGTGTCCTTCTGCCCCAGAGGAATTGTTCCCACTGCCCCTGGAGTGGAAGCATGGGCTGTGCTGTGTTTGGAGATGTCCCTTTCACAGGCTAGAGTGTGACCTGTACTGCATAGGCAGGTTTCTTATGCTCTAGGGGAATGAGGTAGGAATGAAGGAATCTCTTGCCCTTAAAGATATTCCCAAATGTGGAAATGACAAAGGCAAAGTCATACAATTTTTAGGATTGGCAAAGACCTAAGGATCACCAAGTGTCCAGCCATCAACCCAGCAGCACCACCATGTTCACCATTTAACCTGTCCTTAAGTGCCACATCCATTGGTTTTTTATCACTTCCAGGAATGGTGACTCCAGTACCACCCTGAGCAGCCTGTTCCAATGCTTTAGCACCCTTTCCATGGAAAGAAAAAATCCTAATAACTAATCTAAACCCGTGGTGCAACTTCAGTGTGTTTCTTGTCAATGTGTGTGGGCTCTTCATCTGCAGCCTCAAGAATCCTGTACACAGAAATTACTGTTCCAAAAAAGAATAACCCCCCTCCAATTCTATCACAAGCTTTTAGAACCACAGGTGGTCATGAAAAAGAAGTAAATAACATGAGAAATCAAGGATGTCAGTTTTATTAGCTGCATGTTTAAAGCAAGAGGACGTATCTGGCACTGTACAATACAGAATTCTGTCACTGCATACTGTGAACACCAGGCATGTATGTGGTTCCAGGAAACAGTGAGGAAAAAGTAATAGAAGATGAAATGTGCTGGGTGTGCTTTTAAGCACTTGTGCTGTATCAGTGGTGTGCCAGGAGGCAGCTAAATTTGGGGTCAGCAGAGGACAGGAAAACTCACATTGTCTTCACCTCATTCTTAGGGTCTTCCATACTTGAAAAATTTTGGTGACAGCTGAAGAGAAAGAGCAGTGCATTAAATGGAATCACAGAATATCCTGGGTGGGAAGGGACCCATGAGGTCCATCAAGTCCAGCTCCTGCACAGAACACCCCAAAACCCCCACCCTGTGCCTGAGAGCATTGTCCAAATGTTGCTTGAACTCTGGCAGGCTCAGGGCTGTGGCCACTGGCCTGAGGAGCCTGTTCCAGTGGGCAAGTAGATCCCTAGTTCACCAGGCTTTGTGTACCAGAGATAAAAGAGGTGTTGGATTTTCTTTTTGTTTTTAACATTTTGATTACACATACAGCATTAAAGACAGAGAAAGGGGAATCAGGTGATACCAGGTCATTCATAAAATGACCCATTACAGGCAAAAAAACCTGTTCATGTCACTGGTACAGCTCCTGTGTGCCATAGAGCACCAAGTAAGTTAAAAAAAAAACCACACAGGGGAGGATTTATTGTTTATTTTCAGAACAGTAATCACATGAATTGCTGCCTGTAGCAGCTCAAGCCAGATCAATAAGCTCACAGTTAAAGCTATTGTTCCCTGGGAGGTGTCAGTGTCAGACTCACTGAACTCTCACTGGGTACAGGAGAGGGACATCTGTGGTTGGCAGGGCTGTAAGAATAGTTTTAATGCATTTAAAATACCACTTTTTCTGAATAAACCAGAAATAATGAACCCATCTATCAAGAAAGGGAGAGAGGGATTGATGGATGGATTGACATACAATTGATTGCAATTCTGGCTTTTGATCAAACTCAGTGCACACTTCATTGTAGGTGAACAACCTGGCTCCCAAGCTGAATGTATTACATTTTTATTCCAGTTGTATTAAAATGTGAAAAATAGATAATTTCATGGTATTATTTAAAACAAGGTAGCCAGGAATATCTGCCAGTTCTACTTTTTTCCCAGTTGTGATGTCATTACCAGACAAACACTTCCTTACCTCAGTTGCTGTCCTTGAGGGAAGACGTACAGAGCCTTTAAACACTAATGCATTAGAGAGCATTGAAAATAATCATTTGGTAAATTCTGTTGGCTATATGAAGTTTGGAACAATAATCATGTGTCTATTTCATTTAATCTTTATGGATTTCATTGACCTTTGAAATACAAATCCTCATTTTTCTTGAGAATAAAATGGAACAGAAGTAGCAGTGTTATGGTGTGTTATGCTGTTTCCTCTGGGACAGCCCATGAAATTTACCATGTTCTCCTTTGTCTGAGCTCAGACTTTCTGTTTTGCAGTCCATAAGAGTATTTATTTATGGTTTTTTCAAGGATGAAATTCTGAAAGCAGCTGTTATGAAATATGGCAAGAACCAGTGGTCTCGAATTGCCTCATTATTGCACAGGAAATCAGCAAAGCAGTGCAAAGCCAGATGGTGAGTGAGAGGTGCTGTGCCTGGGAATATGACCTTCATAATTAGTGGAAATGTAGGAAAAAATGTTACTACAGACTAACTTATGCCCACAGACCAACAACAGTTTTAACACTGTTTGATTTTATCATGGAAACTTCAAATTTTTGTTGCTTGAAAGTAGTTGAAAAAAAATAGCCAGATTTTCTGTTTGCCAGTGACTGCAGTGTTAGCAAATGCAGGATCAGTTTAAATTATGAACATTAGTTTTTCCCTTTATTTAAACATGTTTTAATCAGTGGATATTGCCAAGGAAGTAAAATTGTAAGATACTAATCTCTCTTACATATAATTTTCTAATTTCATGTAATGGGAGTTTGGCTTGAGAGTAAACATTAAGAAATTGCACTGTGAAATTTCGTATTTTTTGAAAAATAGGAGCTTTATACTGATGCAAATACTGATGCAGCATAAATGTATTTGAGAATCAGACTTGCTTTTTTCAGGTACTGAACTACACATATTTAATAGAATACTTATCGTAGAGATAACAATACTGGCACAGTTGGGGATTAGTAAGATAATTGTTGAAGGCTCCAGACCAAACAATTCTACCATTTCTCTATCTTTGATAGTTGCAACTTTTATTTTCAGGATTAATTCTGTGACTCTTTACTTTGCCAGAATAGAGATGGGAAAAGGAAGAAGAGGCAGTATCTGTATGAAAAGTACTGGATAAATAATACATTTTGAAGCTCAAATACATATGTCATGAAAACCCTCTTGAAGACAAATCAAGGAATAACTTGGATCTGTCATCCTTAATTTTTCCCTTACTACAGGTACGAATGGCTGGACCCGAGCATCAAAAAGACAGAGTGGTCTCGGGAGGAGGAGGAGAAGCTGTTGCACCTGGCCAAGCTGATGCCAACCCAGTGGAGAACCATTGCCCCCATCATTGGGAGAACTGCTGCACAGTGCTTGGAACACTATGAATTTCTGCTGTGAGTTTCTGCTTGCCTAGAGGAAAGTCTAGCCAAGAATAACCAAAAAATCTGTGGAGTTGTAGCAGTGTGTCATTCCTTTCTCCTTTGGTAAATTAGGGTGGTTTCAAGTTGACTGAGTCCTTCTGTAAGCAAATCTTTAAACATTGTTTTCAGTCACTTGTGTCTAGCTTGAAAGAAGCTCCTGGAACCTGGAGAGCAGCTTGGATAGAGATAGGTGTATCTCTTCTTGTTCCTGGTCATTCTGGCTAAGGGATTGCCTAGATTTATGCTTTTATTAGGCTGTTTGGGCATTTTTTGACTGGCTGATCAGCAGGAGTGGGTATGTGAGAAAGTAAAGAGACATAAAACATGTTGAAATGGCTGAATGTGCAGATACCATCTCTCCTACAAGGGGTTTCTTTTGGCCACGAGAAGAGAAAGAATGTGATGTTTTCCCTTGTGAGCATTCTTAATTCTAGTGTAATTGGTTGAGTAGAAAAAACATCATATAAAACTTGATTTTTTAATTTTGTCACACTGCTGGAATTCTTGTTTTTATTATTAAAGATTACCTGAGGTGATTTCTTTACTAGTTGTATTAGTGTTGTATTTTATATAATATTTTATTGTTGTAATGTAATACTGTGTTGGTTTCTTTCTCTTGTCTTAAGATTATGGAACTGTACCACATTTGTGAATTGTATAACAGATTTACTGTATAGTACAGAGCACAAGGGTACTGCTTTATCATCAGTCTTTGGAGACATTTAAGGGGTGGTTATTATGAGTCTGGGGGAAAACAAAGAGCTGGAAAACAAACACCTACAATGTGTTTTTAGGGACAAAGCTGCTCAGAGAGACAATGAGGAAGAAACTGCTGATGATCCTCGGAAACTGAAACCTGGAGAAATCGATCCAAATCCAGAAACCAAACCTGCCAGGCCAGATCCCATTGACATGGATGAAGGTGAGTTAGGAGTGTGTTTTCCATTTTTGACAGAAATCTGATCTGTTTGATTTTTCTGTTTACACAGCCATTGTACCTTGGTTTCTTTTTTTTCCACCACCACCTGGTCATTAATTTACTTGTGAATTTTGTCTTATTTCTGTATCTGGCTAGTCAGTTATACTTTTCCAGTTTTTCTTTTCTTGATGCATTTTTTGCCTCCTTATCTGTTACCATGACTGGCTGTTCTTTACTTTGACAACTGCTCTGCTTATTTGCATTCTCTATCTTCATCATTATCCATCAGCTCACACCTCTCAGATGAACCCATGCTGAAGCACAGGACTGCCTGACTTCCTTTTTTTTTCCCTTGCACAAAGCAATGTTGTAAACTGAAAAGTGCACATGGTTAAAATTCCATGAATGGACAGTCGGTGTTTTCGAACAGTCACAAGTTCACAAAAACAGCACTCTCGGCTCTGGAAGTAAATGCAATTAACAAGTTCTCAAGAAAATACTCTCAGATAAAGATGTAAATGAAGTTTTACTTTCATTAATGTGGTCAGTGGGCCTCTTTATGTAAATATTTTGATTTGGTGTTGATACTTATTGATACGATTTTCAACATGAAGCTTTTTTTCTAAAAATCTTCTTTTCACCTGGCCAGTGATTCAGTAAATACATTGGAATAACTTGGAGATTAGTGATGACACAGAATGCCTGTGATTGATTGATTGATTGATTGAGCTTTTAAAGACGGTTTTCTGATTTTAATGTCACCTTTTTCCTGACTCTCCTCTTTTAAGTGCAGATTCACTGCTGTATTTATTTGTGCTATTGTAGATGAGCTTGAAATGCTGTCTGAGGCTCGAGCACGTCTGGCAAATACACAGGGAAAGAAGGCCAAGAGGAAAGCCAGGGAGAAGCAGCTGGAAGAAGCTCGGTAAACTTGCATTTGGTTTCATATCCTGGGACTTCTTTTCTTTACTCTACACTTGAAATCATGTGGTGTTACTGTTTCTTTAGACGCCTTGCTGCTCTCCAGAAAAGACGAGAACTTCGCGCTGCTGGAATTGAGATCCAGAAGAAAAGAAAAAAGAAGAGAGGTGTGGATTACAACGCAGAAATTCCATTTGAAAAGAAGCCTGCCCCTGGTTTTTATGATACATCAGAAGAAAATTATCAGTCCCTGGATGCAGATTTCAGGAGACTGCGTCAGCAAGACCTGGATGGAGAATTAAGATCGTAAGTGTGTGTTGGAATAAGAAGTGAACAGGAGGGAACAGCATATCTGAAAAAAAAGCAACCCATATGTCTGTGTGTTAAGTCCTGGAAACATAATGTGGGTGGGAAATGTATTTTCCATGGGACAGATAAAAGTGCAGGTGGCCTCTGCCTTTTCAGCTTTTTGTGGTTTGTCTTTGCAGAAGGTCTAGTTCACCTATTGTCTGTGATCACCTCTTTTCTTTCCTCTAGTTCACCTTTTATCAGAATAATGTTTCTCACACATATACTTGCTATTTAAGTTGAAATGTTATTTTTTTGAGATTGTATTTTTTAGCAGTTTGTTTGTGTGTTTAGTGTCCTTTAAATAATAACTTTATAATGATTGCTTATAGGAGTAGATTTGTAGTATTACTTCTGATGGAGTTGTTCTTAAGTTGGTATCTTTAAATGCTTAATTTCTCCCCATCCCCCCCAAAAATCCCCAAAAGTTTAGTTGACAAGTTAAATGCCACTCTTGGGTACATACTTAATTGTACAGTTGCATTTCCCATTACTGCCAAAACTGCATTTTACTGAGTTCAGTGCCAAGTACAATTTGGTTTATTAACTCATGTGGTGTTACTAACTGATTTTTCTTCATGGCTCTTTGTTCAGAGGGTCAGGCAGGAGCTTCAGACTGAAGGTTATGATTTCACTGACTGCCTCCATTGCTGTTTGAAGGAAATGCCATTTTTATTAAAGACTGAAGAGAAATTGGTTCCCACTTTCCACAAAAGAAAATATTCACCTTACCTTAGCAGCTGCTGGAGAAAAAGAGGCTCTTATTTTTACTATCTAAATTCTTGACCTGACATTTTTTTTATTGATCCAGTGACCCTGTTTATTGTAGTTTTTCAGCCTAAAGCTAAATCTGTTGCCTAATTCCATGATTTAAAAGCATTACACTGCCCTGTAGTATGTTCTGCTTCAAGATCTGCAGATCACATCCAATCACCTACAAGGTGCTCCACTCTTTCTGCAGTGTTTTATTTCAGCATATCCAGTGTTTGCAAAGGGTACAGCCTTTTTGCTCTTGGCTTGTTTGCTTTGCTCTGTAGCTGCTCTGTGTGTTCTGAAATGATCCTGTTTTCCATAATAACAGTGAGAGGGAGGGAAGAGAGCGCAAAAAGGACAAGCAGCACATGAAACGGAAAAAAGAGTCAGACTTGCCCTCAGCTATTCTGCAGACCAGTGGAGTGTCAGAATTCACCAAGAAAAGGAGTAAACTGGTGCTTCCAGCTCCTCAGGTGAGGTTTTTACTGATGATAAACAACTTATAAGGCCAATACCAAACAGTTCTTTCTGCTTTGTCGAATGGATCTCATAGTTACGTTGTATCTTACTGTGCCTTGGGATTTTCTCCTTCAAAGATATCTGATACAGAACTTGAAGAAGTTGTAAAAGTTGGCCAAGCAAGTGAGATTGCACGGCAGACTGCTGAGGAATCTGGAATCACAAACTCAGCTTCCAGCACTCTTCTCTCTGAGTATAATGTAACCAACAACAGCATAGCTCTGAGGACTCCCAAAACTCCAGCAGCCCAGGACAGGATCCTGCAGGTAGAGTATAAGTGTAAAGGATGGGTTTTAAGTTTTGGAGCAGGAGTCAACTGAGTAGAAGGTGTAAGTGCCAGAGAAATACTCCTTAGATTATGTGCAATGTTGGGATTTGAAGCAATCCCAACCTTCAGGACACACTAAACAGCATAAAGCAGACCTGCTTGTATTTAATCAAGTGTCACTGTGCTTCAAAACATTCTGATTCTTTTTCTTTTAGTCATATATTGTGTGAAGCTTTTAACCATTCTCCTGGAGTCTTGCATAATTTTCCCTTTCTTGTATGTCTCTCAGTGCTGAAAATGTATGAGTTCATCTCCTTAAAACAGTGTATTTTATGTTGTCCAACTTTTATTTCAAATAGCAAGTAGTAATTAACTGCAACAATGCAAGAATATTTTCATAGCACTTTATTGGCTTAAAACTTAGGTGAACCAAAACCTGCCTTTGCAACCTCTGATTGCCTGGATTTTTCAAAAAACTGGTTATGTTGAGTAACATATTGTTGAGTATGTGGAAATGGATACATTAAATCAGTGCAGCTAGTGTGTAGCACAAAACAAGACCCCAAAAATCCCACTCCAAAGCAAAAACCCTCTGAGTTGACAATGAGTTGTATTTCAGCAGTTCCATGATAGGACAAAAAAGAAAGTTCCTGGCTCTGCAGATCATAACCTAAGTCTGTGCAATGTTTGCAGGAATGGTCAGGCCCACCTTCAAATGGAGTTTATTATAAATGCCACAGCATTATGCATATGCACAGCTGGATTAGTGGTCTTCTGGGAATATATTTGCTATTTGTAGTCGTATAATTAGCTCACTTTTAGGAAGACTTAATTCTTCACTGTAATAAGGAAAAATGAAATAAAGAAGGGGGCTGTTCATAAAACCCTCAGCTGAGTCATGGACCAAAAATCTGAATAGTGACCATCTCTTCTGGAACATTGTCTTTGAAGTGCAGTTTGGATAAAGTTGATTGAATTCAGGTTTCAGAGTTCAAGTGTGCTCTTCCCTTTTAAAAATCAGGATTCTTAGGATTACTTGAGTGTTCAGTCACTAACAGATCTTGGAGATTTATGGAGTCTGGCAAACTGAAGGAAGCTGAAACAATGAGTAACACACTCAGTTTTGCAACTCCAGTTTATAACATATTTTACTGGAAATTATGTTCAAATGCCTCTCAGTGGAACAGTAGGGTTTATAAATACCAGTGTATGGGTGTTAAAGCTAAGAAATTTTAAACATTTTCCACAAACTGATATTCAAATAACTCTTCTGCTGTTCTGCTGCAGTAGCTGTTGTGCAATTGAATCTGTCAAATGTTACTGTCAATGTCTTGGTGAAGCACTGCTTGTGTTGTCTGTTACACAGGAGGCCCAGAATCTGATGGCTCTCACAAATGTGGATACTCCCCTGAAAGGAGGTCTTAATACTCCCTTGCATGAAAGTGACTTTTCAGGGGTAACACCACAGAAACAGGTTGTTCAGACTCCAAATACTGTGCTTTCCACACCTTTCAGGTAAACAGACTCCTTTTGTGATGGGTGCCTGGGTGGGCATGTGTCTGTTTGGAGATGGGTGAACAGAGCAGATTTCGATGTATAAAATACTGTCATGATTAGACTTTCAAAAGAAACTCATTTCAAGCCCTTGTTGTACAAGTTGCTCCTTCTCTGTGTCTTTAGAAAACTCAGCCATGTCCTCTTCATCTGTGTTCATACAGCTCACTGGAGTTTTGATCCAAAATGTGGCCTTCTGTGGTCTGGAGCAGTATAAATTATTCTGGGCTAATGCAGAGTATAAATAGTAAGCTGGAGTGTCAATTCTGTATGTGGATCCTGGCCTTTTCAAAGTATTACCTTGGAATCAAAGATGTGGGAGGTCCCTCAGCCAAACCCACACTGAATTTTTGAAAAGCTGGAGTAAATATTTTAAAAGCCATATATATCCAAAATAAAATATTTCTTATATTGCCAATCTAAATAGTACAGAATTGCTGGTTTAACTCTTACAGTGAACAAATATATATCCCACAAATGTCAAATAACATACAGCTAAAACATTTTACAATTGGTACATTTTGTGTGTCAGATTTTTCCACTTAGGTTCTAATTTTACTTGTATCATGTTAGTAGGAAAAGTGGAGAATGAAATAAAAAGGACCTTTATAGCTGCTTTTCCAAAGCAGCTTTATTTTGTTCAGAAGCTGTGTGCTAAAGCCCCGATCTTTTAATTAAAAAGAGCAGTTCCAGCAGTGAGTGCTTTTTTTGAAGATCTGTTGGTGTCAGTGTGGTGCAAAATGAACGTAGAATTTGACCTGGAGTGATCTGCCTGTTGATTTGTGTTATTTTATATTTTAAAAAGTAGAGATGCTCTAATTTTGTTGTATGGGTTTTTTTTGTGGTGTTTTTTAATTTCTGAAGTTCAGATTTGCACATGTAAATATGTTACCTGCGGGTCAACTTGGCTTGCTTGCAAAAAAGCTGTCAGTGGGAAAATCCAATCCTTGAGCAGAGGGAAAAATTGTCATGTACTAGGGATAGAGAACAATATTCCTTCCCAGTCTAGAGGAGAAGCAACTGGGGCCAACAAAATCTAAGACTTAATCCATGTTGTCTAAGCATAGATGCTTAGAAGTAATTATTATAATGTAATTACTTCTTCAATAGTCAGTGAAAGCAAAGAGGTATTTTAGGATGATCCATTCAATTGCAGCATGGGACAGCTGCTGGGCCAGATGATTTCAGAGCAAATGACTTACCCAGGTGGTGGGGAAATCAGAGCTTGCAATTCAACCCTGGTTACTGCATCCCAGAATAATGCCTGGTGACTGGACAAGCTCCTCTCTCAAAAGCAGCAGTGGGACTTTGTGTTGGTGGAGTTCCTAAAGCTTCTCTTGAAATTATGATGTGCCTAGATTTCAGCTTGATAGGACCTTGGTTGCACCTTGACAGGCTTAAATAATTTTTTCTTAGTATTCTTGTAATTACACTTTACAGTTTCACTGCCTCCCAAGAAAAAACTCTAAATTGAATGGATAGACTGTTTATGTAACTTTTTCCAACATTCAGACTTTTGTAAGTAAGTTCTTTAGTAAAAAACTAATGACTAATTGCACTTCACTAGAACACCCTCTCAGGGGTCAGAGGGCTTAACTCCTCGAGGAGGACTGACTCCCAAACCTGCCCTTGGCACAACTCCTGGGAGAACTCCCCTGCGGGATAAACTGAACATCAACCCTGAAGAGGGAATGGCAGATTACAGTGACCCATCCTATGCAAAACAAATGGTGAGTAGTACTTAAGAAATGGAAATCTGTGCTCTGTCAATTTTCAGGGTTTTAGTTCTCATCTGCTGAAAATAATTTTATTTTATAATAAAATGTTATTGCTTCCACCTGTCTAGGGGTCTGTCCTTATCACATAATAAAATACAGTCTTTATTCAAAAGAACAGAAGTCTTGCCACTTAGAATGGCTTTCAATGTGCTCAGTAAACACACTAAAACTGTTTTTTGGAGAAGACATAGTTAAGTTTCCATCCTATTTCTATCTTTGAAGCTGAGCAGGAAATGCATCTTGAGCAAAGATTAATTTTTCTTGCAATCCTACACAATCCTCAAATTCCTCATCATCTTGACTTCCTGATTTACCTACAGGACCTTTTCATCAGTTTGTCGTGTTGACAACACTGAGCTAAAGGAGTTTAATTTTTGCTGTTAGGAGCACTGGGGTTTGAGATGTTCAGAAATCTGAGTCCCATCCAGACTCTTTCATTACCTTTGGCAACAGATGTTTCCATTCTTGGAGATTCAGCCAGATGGGCCCTGCCAATCAGACATGGTATAAAAGGGCATATACCTAATAGGTAGCACCTTGAGAACTCCTTTTATGTGGCTGATTCTGCAGCCTCGACTGTAGCTTTGAATATCTCCCACCTGAGCTATTGGCAGTTTTCTTTTTGGCCTAGCTGAGATATCCACTCTAAGTGTTTGCCATGTTCTCACAAAAATAACTCTTCAACTTCAAAATTCCAGAATTCCTCTTAGCTTGAAGGAGAAGGTTTATTTAATGTAGTTATGCTTTGGTTCTCTCTTAGCCTTTTTATAGTAAAAGGACTTTTTACTGCTAGAAGGGAAACTGAGGCTTCAAATCCCTGGTGGACTTCCCTGGTTTCCAGATCTGGTGCTTTCTGGCTTTGCAGCAGACTAAGGTGTCCATGGAATAATTAGTGTGTTGTTCTGTCTGTTAATGCAGATGAGTGGAGTCTGATTGTGCTGTGCTCAGGGAATTGCACTGCACTCAGGGTATAAATCCAGAAGCATCACATCACATCTCCCTGCTCTTCCCACAGGAGAGAGAGTCTCGGGAGCACCTGCGCCTGGGGCTCATGGCCCTCCCTGCTCCAAAGAACGACTTTGAGATTGTTCTGCCTGAAAATGCAGAAAAGGAGCTTGAAGAACATGAAGTAGATGAAACCTTTGTAGAAGATGCTGCTGATATAGAAGCCCGCAAGCAGGTCAGTGTGTGAGATGTGGATGCTGCTTTTTGTGTAAAATCAAATGTGTTCCTTGTATGGTTCCTATCATTTCACACCTGTTCAATGCAAGAGGTACAGCTTCTTCTACAGGATAGCAAAGTAAAATTTACCTGTTTTCTCTGCTGCTATCAGAGTATACACACTCAGAGGCCAAATCAGTTTTCTCTCTAAATAATTTTCTTAATTTCTTAATGTTATGTATCACATTGTTTTCTACCATGGAGTCCTTCAGAGTGCCTGTGTCCTGCCTGCTGTGTTTGTCCCCCAGAAGACAAATATTTAATTAAAAGCTTTTTTCTACAATGGCACTTGATTGATTTTAAGCACGTAAGAACTGTGCTTTTTTTTCAGTTTCAGGTTATTCTCTCAAGGTTAAAAGTTGCTGTTTGTGAAAGATTAGACAGGTGTATACAAACTCAGGCAGGCTGGTAGCACACAGATAAAAATCTGCCATGCAGGGAATTGGCACCCTTGGCCACTACCAGAGGATTACCCAGACAGCCAATTTGTGAATGGGTCCTTGTTGTTGTGTTTTGGTTTAGAATCAAGGAAGACTGGATAAAGTACAAGCCTAAATTCTGCCAGTTAATTGGCTGTACTGGCTAGTAACCAGAGACACTTTAAATCTTTCTAAAAACAGTTCCTTTTCTATTTATTGCTAAGCCTAAATTTTGTTTTGCAAATCTCTTTCTGTTATATACCTTATATAAATATACATTTTTCATAAAAATAAATGAGATTTTTGAGTCCAGAGAACTTTGTGAAAATGGCTGTGCCTTGACAAGTGAACAAAATATTTTAAAAAATCCTATGTTTTCATCTTTAACTAGGATAAGCATTTCCCAGAATTTGATTCCTCATGTGTCCTATTTGGGGAGGAACATGTTTTATACATGTATTTGTATGTCTTGTGCACACATACCCTAATAAAAAGTCTGAATAAATACAAGTAGTGTATGTGTGTAGAATAGAGGAAAGAATCTGAGTTGTACCATCATACAAGAGAAGAGCATCCTGCCTTCAAGAGAAGATGTGATGTTGCATGCTGGGATTAGAACATGGAGGATGTTGGTCCTTGTTCCTGAAGTTCCTGACAACACTGGCTTTTCATGTTATTTATTGCTTGAAAGTGTATTGTAGAGAGAAATCTCATGTTTTTCCACTTTAACAAGTATTGGTTTAGTGAAATATGTACTTTAAGTCATTGAAGATGAGAAACAGAGTCATGGCTGCTAATTTAAGAGTCTTTCTTTTCCTGGTGGATTTAATGTCTGAAGAATTAGAGCAGCTGTCACACATAGAGAAATGTGTAAAGAACGAAATCTTGCTGCAGTTGAGATTGAAGGAGAATTTGATGCCTGGAAATGACTTTGGAAGATCTCTTTTCTGTTAATCTGCTGTGCTCTTCCCATTCACTTTAGAGGCAGTGAATTACATTGTCATCACATTATTTAGCTCTGGCTTTCTAACATGAGGTCTATATACTGGAAGGAATCTTTGCTTCAATAATCAATTAGTTTTTATATCCCATACATTCCTAGGCAGCATCTGATTGAGTTACAGTGGCTGCAGTAACACTTGGCTTGTTTGTTTAGGCTCTCCGAGAAGCAGAGCGTGCCAAGGAGCTGAAGAGAATGCACAAAGCTGTGCAGAAGAATCTACCACGGCCCTCAGAAGTAAGTGGAAACAAAATTCACTGTTAAGGGACAAAAATTAAAAATAAAGGCTTTAACCATTATAGGAGGAAATACAGTAAAAGGAAATCATGAGAGAGTGAAATCTTTGACTATGCTGATTTTCATGAGGCTTCCCCCACAGAGTTGCTATGTGGTATTTCATCTGCACAGATGTTGAGATTGCTGCATGTGTCACAAGGGTTTTGGCACCTCTGCTGTGGGGTTTAGCTGATACATAAAATTTATACTTGAGTGGAGATACATGAATTTAATATTATCTTTGGTGTATATTATATTTACAAACTTTTTTTATTCCTGGACAGGTCAACGAAACAATACTGAGACCCTTAAATGTGGAACCACCCCTAACAGACTTGCAGAAAAGTGAAGAACTCATAAAGAAAGAGATGATTACCATGCTTCATTTTGATCTTTTACATCATCCATTTGGAGAACAGTTTACTGGTAAGAAAGGCAAAGGCCCAGGATTTGGAAGCAACAACGCTGAGCACATGGCTTACTTGGAACAAAATCCTTATGAGAAGTTCTCCAAAGAGGATCTCAAGAAGGTGAGAATTGTGTGGCCTGAGGAGACCTCAAGTCTCCTTAGGGCATAGTTCTGTAATATTGGAGGAAAAAGCCTACACAGAATTGAGTTGGGAGGTCTCCAGAGGGTTGTATGAAGGGCTGTAGTCATGGAGTTGTTGGGGTTGGAAAGACCTCTCAGATAATCAGATTTGATCATTAACCCAGCACTACCAAGCATTAAGTAAGGATAAGTTAATAATTAAGGATGATTTAAGTGCACATTCTGCTTTCTGTGAGCTGATGTTAATCTGGGCTTTCAGCAGAATGATGAGGGTGCTGTATTTGCCCATAGACATTGTCAATGAGATACAAATTTGAATGTGTTGTGGTTGCTTATCATTTTAAATAAGGGTAAGAGGAATAATACCCCAACAGCTACCATATTCTACTTTGCCATTTCTGTAAATTGCTGTTAAATCATTGAGGCATTGACCAGGTGTAATACCCATCTTCTGCTGCCTCTGAATTTTATTAATCCAGAATCACAAAGCATTTTCTTCAAAACAGTGCAGACTGAATAGGACAATGGTATTCAACTTGTACCTTGGAGCAGCAAATCAAGTTGCTTAATTATGCTTGTCAAGCTCAATCCAGGCAAGCTGTGCTGGTGCAGAGCCTGCTGGGCTGTGGCAGCTGCTCTTGCAGCCATACCTGGTCCAGAAGTGCTGAGCAGGCAGACTGGGCCCTGGCTGGCTGCAGTGAGTGGGCGGCCTGGGCACTGTGTCCTGTTTTGCATTGTAATCCCAAGTTAAACAGCCTCTCTGGACCAGGGTTCCAGTTCAGGGTGTTCATTTATTTAAGCAGCTACAGATGTTGCTTTTTGCTGCCAAGTGACAGATAGGCAATTCTGTGGTTTAGCTCTTTCAAAGAGCTTCACCTATGAAGCTGTGCCAATAACCTTTGACCAAATGCCTAAAAGAATAAAAATGAATGAAAAGAGCAAAATCACGTGCCACCAAGTTGTCTGTCTCTTTAGACTTGTCCTCTGACAATACCTGTTGTATCTCTGCACCTAAATCCCTTTTATACCTTTAAGATCACTCTAAAGATACACAAGCAGATTTTAAATCCATGTCCTTGACCATATCTGACCAATGAATGTAGAGCCTGAAAGGAGAAACACTGAACAGTATGTACTTCCAATTTGCTGTGAAATGAAAAATTATACTTCAAAATCTCTTACCAGGAGACGTTAAAGATGGAAAATACAGTTAGATCATGAATTTCACTGCCCTGCCAGTGTCAGATTGTTCCCTTAGGAATGTTCTCTGAGTGCTTTCTCTGGTTGTTTTGAAGTGCAGCAAGAATCAGGTTTGCTATCACTTCCCTTAGAGACTATTACACGCTCCAGTAGTTTTTGTCTGGAAACTTTTCTTCAAAGTCCCTGGAAGTTCTGTCTCCTAACTGATGGGCAGAAGTTTTTTTGCATCCCTGCTCCTGCTTGCTCTCTAACATTCAGCACAATATTCCCTCTTGTCTAAAATCCAGTTCAAACCAGAAAATTTTTCTATCTCTGTGATCTCATCTGAGGCTTGTTTATTTTGCTTTACTTCATTTGTTTTTAGAACATCTTCATCCTAAAACCCTTTCATAAAATACTCTTTCTTTTCCTGATGTGCAGTTCTCTTCTGGGAAGGATTAGCAAGGATTAGCAGTGATGCTGGGTAGGGTGTGCTGAGCTCTTGGAGCTGGGAAACACTTCTGGTGCCACAAGTAAATACCCTCAAGTAGTTCCTCACAGTGTACTAATCTTGGCTAATTGAAATTTATAACATTGAGCTTTGTCAGGTGTGGTTGTGTTACTCCTATTTTATCTGTCTTGACCATCAAGAACAAATAATTAATTTTCTCTTCCCCAGTATCTGTGGAATCATCTAATCTGGTGATACCTGAATTTCTACCTGGTCAGTGTGCAGTTGCAAAACATAACATCTGCTTGCAGTAAGATAGCTACTGCTGATAGGGAAATTTGTGCTGCACCTGTAAATGCTGTTGAAAGAGAGGAGATGGACATGTTCTTATAAACAATGAAGTCTAGACTGGCAAAGATGCTTTAATTTTTTAGTTATTAATAAAATCAGAAGGACTTGTGTGCCTGTTTCGTTTTGCGGGCCAGGCTCTTTGTCAGAAATATTAAGAGTTGTGAGACCAACAAGAATCTTTTCAGTTCATTGTAAACTTTGAAAACGAAACTGTAAGCAACAGAGTACTCATATATCACCAGTTCTTCAGCCACAGAACAGTGTTAGTTGCAGTCAGAGTTGTGTTTCCTGCAGCAGAACTTACACAGCTCACCCTGGGAATGTTTAGACTTGACTTTCCAGGTTGTGTGGAGAAGGGCAAGAAAAAGGAAATGAAAAGTGATTTTTGTTTCATAGGACAGCTGCTTCTGTCTGTACAGTTCTCCCTCCCCTCAAGGTCCCTGCTTTTATCTCTGTTCTTGTGCAGCAAGATGAAGTATCTCACTGTGCCACAGCTTTCATTAGCCACGCCAGAGTGATGTCAGGTTTGGCCAAATTATATAAAATGAGGGATAGTTGTGCTGTGAGGAGCCTTCTAGCCTGGGTTTCATTTGTAATCCACAGCATCTGTGTTCGATTTCATAGTTAGCTTAACCTGATGGTGAGCTTTGAGTATGAAAAGAAAAGCTGCCCCCATGAATTGCACACTGAAGGTTTGAAAAGAAGAGAAATTTCCTTGTATCCTGTGTATTGTAACTGCAACTTCTCTCATCCTTTCCAACAGGCACAGGATCTACTGGCACAAGAGATGGAGGTGGTAAAGCAAGGAATGGGGCATGGAGAGCTGTCAAGTGAAGCTTATAACCAGGTGTGGGAAGAATGTTACAGCCAAGTGCTGTACCTGCCTGGACAGAGCCGCTACACAAGGGCTAACTTGGCCAGCAAAAAGGACAGGATAGAGTCACTTGAAAAGAGACTCGAGGTCAGTGTCACTTCTTTCTGCCTTTTGCGCCTCCTTTTTTTGAGTTTCCTTGTGGTTTTTTGTTTTTTTTTTTTTTTTCCTTTGTAGGAGTTCAGTCAGGTCTTTTGAAAGGATTCATTTGAGAAGGTTGGTTGTTGAGGAATTTTCCTAGGGAGTTTGTAGATGTTCTTGAGGTGCTTAAATTGCCTTCTCTCATCTTCCTCCTTACAATATCCCCACACAGAGTATTCCCACACAAAGTTTCTCTCTGCATTGTTGGCTGTAGCACAGCTCATCTACTCCATTCTCTACTGGAGAGAAGGTCAGGTTCTGCTGTCTGTTAATTACATGTGGATTTTTTGATGTTTTCTTAATCTCTGCTGTGAGTGGATCAGATCTTCCTCAGTTTGCACTTGATTGTGGCCAGGATGAGGAGAAACCTCAGAGAATGATGCTTAAAAAAATATCTCTGTGCCAAAGTTCCTCTCAAGTTCTCTTTCCAACTTAATTTTGGGTTTTGACAGACTATTACATACATGAAGGTTAGATAGTCTTGAATTCTTTCCAGGCTGGCATCTTTTTCCAGTTCCAGAGATTCCTTCCAAAAAAGGGAACAATGGATGTTTGTGATCCCATTTGACTTTCTTTGTCAGAGCCTTTGACACTGATTTCCTTTGCCCATTCCTCTCTCTAGATTTTCACCCAAACGCTCCATACAAAAAACCAAAAATAGACAATGTTCATAATAACAAGTAAGCTGGTCTGAAACAGTTTCTTCCCACAGAACATGTTTGTTCTGACTTGCAGTAAGTCATAAATGTTTTCTAAAATACTGCTTTAGCCTAAAAGTCTCTCTAAATTATGCAGGAATCAGATTATTTTTTCCCCATGGTGAAAGGAAACTTTTCAAAATTTTTCTGTATTTAACATCAACATAGCTACTGTTGCTAGAAGTAAACCTCCCCAAACAGCTGCTACCCCAGAAATAACTAGAGAGTCCAGAAAGGCTGAATTTTCACTTGATTCATACACGTGAAATACAACGTGACTGTGTGTTTTGTGAAGTCTGTCAGTCAAGGGCGTTGTCCAGGTGCAGCTCCCGCAGTTGTTAGCCCAGCTCCGGGCCAGGAGCAGCTCACCTGCGTGTATCCCGGTAGTAGGGCTTTAGTATGAGCTCCAGAGCCCCTGTCGTGCTGCTGCTCACCCAGCAGAGAGCACCATTGCCCTGCCCAGCGCTGCCTGCCAGACTCTCACTTGCTCTGCTTTCCCAAACCCGTGAGGGAGCTCAGCAGCAGCCTGGCCTGGCAGGCAGCGTGCCAGAAGTCAGAGGGCTGCACCTAATTTGTGTACAAATCCTTTTGAAATTTAAATATCTTAGGTCCAAAACGACGTTAGAAGGGCATTATTAAAGTTGCAAAGTCAAACAGTCCAAGTTAGGGAATGCACGAACAGCCTTAATTTGCCTGTGCATATGCTTTTTGAGACAGTCTTTAATTTCATGATTGCAGCCTAGTTTTTCCACAGACTCATTTACTGCACAGGGTGGATGGTACTTGCTTAATGAGTAGCTCTTGAATATTTTGTTTTCTCTTAATTGTTTGGTGTGTGGCCCTGTGCCTTTATCCTGTGCACTGTTTCTGCAGTCTAAATTGGTTACTTCTGTGTGGGCTTTCTTGTGCTGTTGATTTCTGTCCTTCTCTTCCCAATATTTGAATGAGTAGTTGGTGAGGGAATGCATATTAAGGATACTGAAGCAAAGTAAGGTCAAGTTTATCATTTATCAAGCTCATGTATGTTTGTTCTAAATGGTCTTTGCTCTGCAGTCATAAGACAGTCACCCAGGAAGCAAAATACAAATCTGAGGTCTTGCCAAAAGAAAAAAAAAGAAAGGTTTTATTTTCTGCCAACATTGCATGGGACTCTGTGAAAGACACATAACAAAGTCCTGTTAGCTGTGTCCCATCAAGCTTAGAAAAGTGATCCTGCCTCTCTGCCCTACCTGCTGAGGCACATCTGGGGTGCTGTGTCCAGTTCTGGGCTCCTGAGAACAAGAGAGACACGGAGCTCCTGGAGTGGGTCCAGTGCTGGGTGGCAAAGATGATGGAGGGACTGGAGCATCTCCCTGATGAGGAAAGGCTGAGGGAGCTGGGGCTGTTCAGCCTGGAGAGGAGGCACAGCTGAGAGGGGCCCTCAGCCCTGGGTGTCCCTGTGTGCAGGGAGGCTCAGAGCAGGGCCCAGGCTCTGCTCCAGGGCCCAGCAATGGCACCAGAGGAACGGGCAGGGACTGATCCCAGCAAGCTCCACCTGGACAGGAGGCAGAACTTCTTTCCTGTGCAGTGACCAAGCACTGAACAGAGACCAGAGAGGGAGTGGAGTCTCCCTCACTGGGGATATTCCAGAACTGTCTGTTCTGTTCACAGTCCTGTGCCCTGTGCTCTGGGATGGCCCTGCTTGAGCAGGGAGGAGGGACCAGGGGAGCCACACTGTGGTCCCTTCCAACCTGACCCATCCTGTGTCTGTTATCAGTCACTGCAGTCATGAGACTCTGGCTAATGTAGCTACATCCCCTGGGAGCTCAGAGTGCTGCTGGATGAGACTCATAGTGCAATTCCACACACAATCCTGCTCTCTCATTTTCCTGTGTTCCAAAATTCCACCCCAGTGGGGCCAGCAGAGCCCCATGCCTGCAGGTGTAGTGAGCACTGTGCTGCCTCTCACAACTCACTGTTGTTGAGTGCAGGTGGACTCTGTGCAAAGTTAAATTTGACCTGAAAATCTCTCCCAAGTGTGTGCAAAATGCAGTTTAGTGCAGCTCTGTGACTTGACCCTAAAAGGCCCTTCCTAAAAGGAAGATTTTTTAAGCATAGCTCACCTGCTGAATCATTTCTTAAACAATAAATAAAAAGTGTAGCAGTTTAATGAACAAATGAATATGCAATAAAAAAGCACAGATTTTTTTTTTCCTACCCCATTCTCAGCAATGACAAAACCCACCTTCATTTTAATGTTTTTCCAATTAAAATTGTCTGAAAGCAGTATCAGTTGAAATAGATATTTTAATGGGAAGTATCAGGCAAGCTTAATGAAACACAGGGATATTAGATCAGCTTTCAGTACCCCAAGACACTTGCTCATACTCTTAGCTGTCTTTGTGAGAAGAGTAGAAATTGTGAAACAGAGTACACCAGCAGCAGCAACTGATGTTCATCAGTTTTGGGGGCTGCTTCTTCCCATTTCTAGTGCACTAAGATTTTTAGAGGGAAAAAGCCACGAGAGTGTAGTGATATTTGGCACAGCTGCACATGGGGAAGTCACTGTCTAATACTTCCATATGGGGCTGCTGACACCCTGCAGATCCTGTGCAGAAAAATCAAGCTGTTTCTGGGTCTGTCTTCGTCACTCAGAGATTCCTGGCTGGATTGATGGTGTGGACACACACTCATCTTCCTCTAATTGTCCTGTTCTCACTGCCTGAGTGGTTTAGTCGTGGCATTCTATGTTGACATGACATTTATCTTTCTCAAATGGATGCTGATAGCACAAACAGATTTGTGCCATTATTGATGGACTTGAGGAAGCAAAGTGGAGCCGTTGTGGAGAGCTTCTGTTTGGCTGGGTATCCTGTCCAAGCATCGTCAGTAATGCACAGCTCATCAGTAGTTCTGATGTTGGAGTGTACTGCTGTATATTAGTAAAACTTTTCATTGCTCTGTTTTGAGGGTTTTGGACTCCTTGAATGTGTTACTTAATGTAGGTTAAGAGTGTTAGAAGATTAGTATGTGAACTTTCTTGCATTACAGATGGGGAGTTTCAGGTCTATGCAGGTGAATCCCTGTGACCTCAGTGTATGTGGCTCTGGTACACCTTAGATTTGTGGATTTTTCTGATCTTTCCAGTAGCTTTAGAAATCCAGAGTATTTTTCCAAGGTTAGGCTGTGCTGCAGAGCAAGTGATTTCAGAAATTGAAGTTTTCTGATGCTTGCAGTTGTGTTGAGTAATGGCTTCAGTTCTCTTCAATACCTTTTGCTCCCTCCTCTTCCAAACAATACATTTATAAAGAAAAGCGTTCCTACTAACATATGTTAAACTGGGAAAATTATAAGATGAAATGAGATAGTAAAGGCATCTATTTAACAAGCTAGTTGCTTCCCTTTGTAGTTCACAACATAGAAACCTCCTGCCATCTTTACTTTTCCTTTGAAGACAGTTAATGAAGTTGGCTTGCAGAATACAAATACTTTAATTAAAATCGTTGTAGTTATCATTATCATTTCAGTTGATTACTAAATTATAAATGCTATTGAAAGCCTACAGGGGAAAAGTTCAAGATACACTGTATATGCAAAATCTAGTAAATTAACTATTCTTTGCAGTATCCAAGATACATCAAGGTGATCATTTATCAAAGTGCTGATGTTTGCTTTTAATTGCAGCCCAAGTCCCCTAAATTAATTCAGATTAAAAACAGCTTGCTTAGGTGGAGTTTTATAGGATGCATGGTACACTCTGCTGCAGGGTGTATCACTTCAGTTTATTGGAGATTGTCTTTTAATTTCTCTCTAGTTTATGTGCTAAACTTTGCAGTTTCTTTTGCATTTTCAGGTGTGCTGGTACTCAAAAAGCACTCATAGAAAATAAGAGATTTTATAGGACTAGGAACAAGAGAAATTACTCACAAAACTAAAATACGGTGAAAATCCTGAGTAGCATTGCTTTTATGGTCACGTTTCATTTTGTGCTAATGTCTTGCATTTGTAGAATACACTTCTTTTAATAAGGTCTGTTGGGAATGTAGTTGGCACCAGAGGATGACAGCAGAGAGGCATCAGGGGTCTTCACTGTCAGATTGCTCAGAATCTGCAAACTTAGTGTGCTTAGGAGTAAAGGTCAGCATTGACAAAGCTCTCATTGCAAAGGCCTTTGCACACCCTCACTGTCCAGAACTGAGTACTGCAGGATCACCGTGGAGCTTCTGCTGTACTGAGAGGGAGCCAGGCTCTTTGGCAGCTCCTCTGTTGCCT